GACCAAGGCAAGCTAGCAGAGGCAGAAGCTATGTACAGTCGAGCGCTGCAAGGCTACGAGGAGGCGCTTGGCTCAACACTACTGCTGTCATATCTACCAGCGCTGCATTCGATGTTCGGCTTTGGTGACCTACTCGCTGCAATAGGTCGGGAAGATACGGCAAAGATTATGTACACTCGCGCGCTAGGAGGATATACAACTATTCAAGGGCCTTCTTCCAAATGGTGCAAGCAGCTAAGGGATCGACTCGAAACGTTGCAAGCTACGTCCCTAGACCCGAAAGACCAAGAGAAGGCTGCAGAGGTTGAAGCGACAAAGTCAAGGTCCCTAAAGCGCATAATTCGCAAGTTTAAAAAGTTAGATACAGGATAGTAGGTAACTAGAAGAGTGCTTTCGATCCAGGAGAACATGTCAGGAATGCAGCTTTATGTACTCAGAATTACCGTGATGTTGATTTGACGGGCATTTTGCACAGGCGTATAGCCACAGCAGAACAGCCACAATTTAGCTTAGACGATGACAGACTTACATTACAAGAACCTGATTACGTAGCTGGTCTGTGCTGACTTGGTTCGGGCATCGCCTCACCGAAGTACCACCCACCATTGTGACTGGGTCTAGATTCGCTCGCCACAACGCTGCTATGTACATAGTAAGACGAGCCACTAAACATCTAAGCCTCGAAGACCTGGACTGACGAAATGTTTCGGTGTAGAAAAGATCTTTAACTTGTTACATGCAATTTAAGCACCGCGTGGTGTTAAGCTTCACAAGAAGCTAAAATACATTTTGCGCAAGAACTTAGCCACGTGCACGTAATATTTGTATGCAAAGTGTTGTCTTTAGAGAGTAAGAGCTACAGTGCGCGATATATAGTAGCGAATAAATTATTCTACTACTCATATCTAACTATGAATACTTGAAGCTGAGGTACCTCGCATAATTTGTTGACGGAAGGAGACTCCGCAGGCACCTGGCAGGTGCAACCGACTAGCCTAACTCTATATAGGCAGGTTTTCCCGCCTGAGCAATACAATACACTTACACTCAACTTCATACCTTTTATTAGGTTATGAGCCTGGCGCTCCACTGCCTGCCCTACTGAGCGTTGCTTTACGCTCTACACCCACAGCTGCAAGCATCGCCACGCTTACCGCCACTGGCGATTCCACTGCACCGCTGCCCTTAGCTACCCGTCACTGCCTGCTGCCACCACCGCTGCAGTCAACAGTCGACGGCTGCTCTCAGCTGCCTCATCCACCACTGGCTCTGGGATCTCCGCTTTCAGCCGCTGTGACAGTCGCTCAAAAGCACTTTCGACAGCATCTGTCACCACTGGTGATTACCCTGCTGACGAGTCACTTGTCAACGTCGTTGACGGCTCCCCATTACCATGTCGACATTCTCGTTCAAGCTTGACCCTGCGTCGCTGCCGAAGCTCAATGCACGCGGCGACAACTTCCCAGAGTACCACTCCGCCTAGACCGTCGCCTTCCGGTACGCTGGCCTATGGCCGATCATCTCCAAGAAGAAGTCGCGACCCGCTGCCCTCGCAGTAAACACGGAAGCGGCTGCTCTGGCTGCTCGATCAGAGGCAATCGACGCATGGGACGCCGACGACACCAAAGCTCTCATTATGATCCTCTCCTCTGTTCACAACGACCTAACACAGCAGGTCGCTGACTGTGAGACATCGCCCACCGCCTGGGACTACCTAACCAGCCGCTTTGATCGCGACACTGGCCAATCGTCCATTATGTTGTTCCATAGCCTCACCAACCTGTGGTATCGCGATGGCGACAACCTGCGCCTCCACCTTGATGAGTTTCACCAGCGATGGACGTGGATATCCAAGCGTTCAGCATCGTTAATATAGCCCGTGGCTATCGCCATGAGGGCCATGTTTAATGACGATAACGTCAAAGGCTCTTTCTTCCTAGCGACGTTGCCTGACACCATGGACAACGTCATTGACAACCTGGCCACCCGCCAGCTTACTGCCTTCCAGGACATAGAGCCTAAGATCCTGGATATTAGCGAAAAACACTCACTGGACACCACTAATTCATTAAGTGCCTACGCTACCCGCCAGACAGCTGCGCGACAACAAAACGCGTGGTCTAGCCAGAGGCCCTTTCCTACCGCCAATGAATGTACTTAGTGCCGAAAACACAACCTAACGTTTATTAGCCACGTCTACACTAACTGCAACGAGCTTCGCAAACACAAGGAGCAGCAGAAGAAGATGCCATCTAAAGGCAAGGACGCTGCTGGCAAACGTAATAAGCGACAGAAAGGTAACTCCGCCAAAGTCGTTAATAATGAGGTAGATGACGACGACGACGACGACTCCTCCACCACGGAAGTTAACGGATTCGCTGCCAACGTTGTTAACCTCACCACTCCACTATTAACGCCAACGGCTTCCCCACCACAAATCAACGCTAATGGGAAATAGGCCCATAAACTAGTAAGTGCATATGCCTCTACACTCCGTCAGCTAAGCGTAGGTGCAGAGACCAATCCAACCACTTCTTAGTTATTTAATATAGGCGCTTCGCGCCATATATCTGGTTTTATTAATGACTTTACTACGCTCTCACTAGGGCGTGGGACAATCACGATAGCCGGCGGTATTAAGTTACCCATTAAAGGCGTAGGGACGGTTAGACTGCGCTACCAACTACCTAACAGCTTGATAAACATCGCCGAACTGACCAACGCCCTCTACTCTAGTGAACTTTACCATATATGCCTATTCTCGTGGGTATACGTCCGAAATTGATACAAGCTCGCCGGCTTGAAGAATGACGTGTACCTCACACGACAAGGTAAAACTACTTTATGGGCGCGTTACGTCAACGGTACCATATAGATCCAGACTAAGGACTCGCCGCCGCCATTAAGTCACTCGAAATTAACACTAGCGATTCCTATAGGCCTTGCCAGTCTGCCAAACTATTAAACCCCAATACACCCAGCCGAGAGGCGCGATTTATCAACGACCTTAATCTCAATAATGGAGGTCGCCCACTTTAGCTCCTTTAAGGAGTTCCATCACGCCATTAGACACCGTCTAATCAATAATCCAGAACGCCACTACCGTGACGGTTACCTCATCCCAGTGATGCCTAATGGCTTTAAGTGTGAAACCTGCATATTATCTAAGTTAAAGCATTGCCGTCCCACACATAACGTAGCGACGCGTCCACGACCGACGAAACCATTGGAGGTTATACACTTAGACCTCTCAGGCAAATTCTCACGCAAGAGCCTAAGTGGCTCACGGTACTACATCTCCTTCGTTGACGATTGTACCCACTTCGCCTGGGTCAAGTTCCTCAAGAAGAAAGCGGACGCCGCCCAAGCTATCATCAACTTTGTTAAATTCGCTGCTAGGCAGTTCAACGCCACGATACGCCGTTTCAAATCAGACAATGGTGGTGAGTACTTGGCTGGCGAACTCCAAAAGTACTTTTCACGTAAGGGCATCGAACACCATACCATACCACCCTACGCTCACGAGCTCAATGGCGTTGCTGAGCGATTCAATCAAACTATAACGCAAATGGCTCACTCTATAATTAACAGTGACACCATGCTGTTCCTCTGGCCTAAAGCAATCGCGTCGGCGACGTTTATTACCAACATTACACCCCACACGTCAGATAAGTTACACCAGACGCCTCATGAACGCCTGTTCAATCGCAAGCCAGCAATCAAACACATACGCCCATTCGGCATCAAGGCGTATCTTCACATACCAAAGGAGGCTCGCGCTCCTAACTCCAAGCTGCTCCATCGCGCAGAACAGGGCGTCTTCGTTGGCTACGGCCGCGACACCAAGGTCGCCCGCGTTTACGTACCTGAGTGGCACGTAATCGTTAAATCGCGCAACGTTCAGTTTCAATCCTTCTCCCACTGGAAGGCTCCTTCACACTTTTCGCCCACTATGGATGATGACAGCGACCTTCTAAACCACGCAGTCCGACCTGTAGTCTCAACCAAGCGACTCGATATGTGCCACCCCAAGCCTGGTCCGGCGAATATGGAGGACCCACAAACACCTTTTGAGATACCACCTTCGCCAGTGCGAAGGACAGCGTCGAACATGCCGCCGCCCGTGACTGGGTCTTCGCCATCTGGCCCATCGCGAGGCGGCTCGCGACGACAAGGAACCACACGCAGTGGCTCTGCCGCGCCAGGATCTCCGCATTCATCAGTGCCAGGATCTTCACGTTCAACGCCTGCCTCTAACACCTCAACAACGACGCGCTCTGGCCGAACAGTCATGCCATCACTCAAAGCCCGTGAATCACAAAACGCGCGTTTTGCTGACGCCACAGAATCGCCAATGGCGATCCCACCTGACGAGATCCTCGCATACGCCGCTACTGCCACTGGCGAAGACATCCCTCGCACGTATGCTGAAGCTATGAGCGACACAAACGCTCCGCTATGGCGCCCGCCCATCGCCCACGAGATCCGCGCTTACGAGACGAACGGAACGTACGATATCATAAACATAGAAGATCTGCCTCTAAGCATAAGGCTTATTGGCACACAATGGGTTTTTGACGCAAAGAAGAATGAACAAGGCAATATTATCAAACGCAAGGCACGCCTCGTCGCCCAAGGCTTTTCACAGCGACCTGGCGTCGACTACAACAATACCTACTCCCCAGTCATGCGCTATAACAGCCTACGACTCATCATTTGGCTATCACTCTACATGAACTGGATACTTCGGCAAATGGACTTCGACGCAGCGTCCCTAAACAGCATGCTTAAACACATCATATACGCTCATTGCCCACCAGGCGTTGGCAACCCTAGCGTCCAAGCGCTAAGACTTCGAAAAGCCCTTTACAGACTCAAGCAATCAGGCCATGAATGGTACAACGTACTCCATGAATGGCTTCGACAACTAGGCTTTATCGCAGCGTCGTTCGATCCATGCGTATTCATTAACAAGGACCTTATTATCGGCATCTACGTCGACGACGTCCTCATGGCTGGGGAACCTGAGGCAGTCACTGCCTTCATGACCGCTACTAGTCAGCAATTCCGCATGAAGGACCTCGGCCGTCCCAAGCTATTGCTTGGGCTGGAGTTCAATTATGACGACAACGTCGACGGCAATAGACGCCGTCGAATCTACCTTCATCAGCGAACCTACATCAATGCTGTCCTGCGTCGCTATGACATGGACAAGTGTAACGCTCGCAAGACGCCGCTTAACCCAAACCACTTTCTGCCTCGCTCCGACGAGCCTGTCGATGAGGAACGTCAACGCCGTCATCAATCAATCGTTGGATCAATCAATTTCCTCGCCATAGTCTCTCGCCTAGACTTGTCATACACGGTCAGCATGCTGGGGTCATACAATGCAAACCCGTCTGATTAACACGTGACACTCGCTGCCCAGGTGTTGCGTTACTTGCGAGGCAGCGTTGACTTCAGGATCATAATCAATCAGGATGCGCGATCTGAAGTCGCCATGTACACAGACGCCTCATTTGGCTCAGATCCCGATAACGCGAAATCGTTCTCTAGCTATCTCATGAAGCTCAACGGCTCCACCGTTGCTTGGTCGTCGAAACGTCAAAGCTGTGTGGCAAAGTCAACCATGGAGGCTGAGTATATGGCTGCGTCCTACGCCGCCACTCATCTTGCTTGGGCGCGACAGGCCCTAATTGAATTGCTTGACAACGTTGATCACTGGCAATTCAAGCTCCTGGTCGACAATCAAGCCGCCATGTCGCTCATCCAAGACTCCAAGATCAGCGCTCGTTCAAAGCATATCGCCGTCCACTACCATTTTGTACGGGAACGATATCACAACAACGAGTTCGTGATCGAACACGTCGCCTCCAAAGACAATCTTGCCGACCTTTGCACTAAGGCTTTGCCCTTGCCTCTGCTCACGGATCTGAAGTCCCGAATCGCCAATGGCGATTGATCACAGCGAGTGACTCGCTTGCTTGATCACCTGTTTGATCACTCCGCCTGGACACTGTCTAAACCGCGCGGTTTGCTCGATCACCCTGAAAGGACTTTTCTACGGCAACCCGCCGATCAGCGGTCATACTAAGAATATTTCTACATGCACGAGAAGGACTAAGGACCATGATAACCCGTCACAATGGGCGAGTATTGGTATGCTATGCTTATAGCTCATCTATGCTAGTCACTGTAGGCACCTCCAGGTGGGAGGACTATTGACGGAAGGAGACTCCGCAGGCACCTGGCAGGTGCAACCGACTAGCCTAACTCTATATAGGCAGGTTTTCCCGCCTGAGCAATACAATACACTTACACTCAACTTCATACCTTTTATCATAATTTTCTACACGGTGGGTTTTCCTGGCCTACGGGATAGACGTTAACTCAAATCCCATCAATCAAATCGTCGTTGATATCTTGTTTCTTTAGCCATCCTCTTTCAATGTTTACCCGAAAATCCGGATGGCGTGGAGCCTTTTGTGGCCCTTTGGTCTTTCCCCATCTCGTTCCGTTCCTTGTACCTACATTCCGCCTGGGAGCAAGTCTATCCTTCAGCAGATCTGGAGGTAATTTTTGCCCGTCTATCCTCACACCCATACAAGCCTGGCAATATACTATGTATGGCCTGGGTTGACCAACATGGATTGGTTCTGATTCATTACCACAAGGACAAGCACGTCCAATACGCCGGGCGTATCTATTATTGTATCTGCTTTGTGAAATCTTATCTGAAGCGTTGTTGGCAAGCCGACGATCACCTTTGATTAAAGCTTTCTTTTTGTTGATCAACATCGTCTCCACCGCTCTTTGAGGACCAACTATCTCATCAAGGAAGTATTTGTCTCGGCATCCGCAGCACAGAAACGAGGGACCTCCTAAAGTTGTGAAGTGAATACTATTGACGGTTTCAACGCAGATGCATAGATCCTGATTTCCTTGATTTTGTGGGCTGGGCCAACTGACAATGTCTTGGAGGGAAGACGTAGTCCATGGCATCGGCCGTAGATGCCGATCCCAATACAATTTGGCCTCGTCTCGTTCGCAATCTCGGCAGAGCCGTGCTCTGAATCCGGTGCTCCTCTCACGCTTCGCGTACTTCCTAATCACACTAAGATGATAGAGGCGTCTGTGTGCACGGCAGAGTCCGCATGTTGTTAGAGCATTGTGAGGCTGGCCTGCAGGATTACCTGGCGCAGGTGCAACACCTGCTTGAGGCGCAATTCGCCATAAACATTGCCTTAATGGAAGAGTGCAATGTGTAGTTCCACAGTGTCCGAAATCGTCGCATTGGATCACGGCAGGACCAGGCCAAGGTCCGCCGCCGTTAGAAGGGGGTGAGTCATTTCCAGGATCGTTTTCGGGAACTGACTGCAGAGGCGAACTCCGATCAGATGCTTGGGATTGTAGAGGCGATGAAGACACTGGTTCCACAATAATAGGAGCATTCGGGTTCCCAGACCTGGACCTGCCGTGTCCAGATACATAGGCAGACGCTGAGAGGTTTTTGTAAATGGAGGCGCGCCTTAAGACTGATTTCTGATCTGGAATTATTCGCTCGCCCGGTTCTTTGGTCCTTACGTCGAGCCAGGATGGTTCTATATCCGGTGCTGGATGTCCATAATTTTTGGTTCTCGTCTGGACCATGATTGGAATATCCGTTCATATGATCTATGAATTTGTGTGAAAGTTGGTATGATACGGTTTCTACAGCATAGCCGTCCCGTCAACTCGTATATATTTATCATGCCAGGTCTGGTGCATAGAAAAGAACGACAGACACTCAGCTTCGGATTGCTTTGTCAACTAAAGATTGGCTCCAACAAAGAAGGTTCCTTTGTTTAATATAATTAGACCCATGATAAGAACCCGAACTTGGCCAATACTTCATTGTGATCTACAAAGGACCACGATCTCTTCTTGTGCTGCACACGTAATTTATGTGCTTTCACCCGTAGCTAAATGAAGATTATAGTAAGTTACTCCATTATCCCTTATCGCAGAATGGTTGGCCTATCGTCCAAACATTATTTCAAAGGAGCGGCTGCCAGGCGGATGCGGCGAATCTGACGGATACTCACCAAGTTCAAATGGGCTATATTAACGATTTAGTTCAACTAATTCATTATGTTGACAAGCCCAGCTGGCTTGAAATACATGCAGTGCCCTGATTTGACAGTACCGCTCTTGTAAACCTAACATGCCACTAGTATAGAACTAAGTCAGTGTTTAGTAGCCTGCACCATAATCACACTCGATTATAAGTTCAATTGATAGTAAGTGCATCCTTTACATCTCTATTGAGGCTTCTCTATTCTTACATTGCTCAGGAAAATCGCACCAATAGCTCAAACTTGCGCAAGAGGAACAAAGGGCGATTTACCAAATGTCCAATGGAGACTAGCATAACAATCGTTGCCTTGGTTGGGACCCGAATTATACATCCATCCACTCTCAACGTTAATCCGGAAGCATGGGTCCTGCTCTGCTTTCACTGGACCCAGCGTTCTATGGAATAGAGGTACATCACTTGGGGAACTTCTTATTTTTGGCCACGGTCGTGTGATTTCTAACATACAAGTAGAAAGGTAGTTCAGTCAATCCATGATGGGTGAATACCTCGCGAATGCCTAGTCAAGAGGGAATAGAACTCTGTGCTCCGAGAAGGACGCATTGACGATGTACCCAGCAGCTTCCTTACAATGTCGTTGATATATGGTGCCTCTCAAAATAGTGGAATGATGCAAATACCCCTGCGGACCGTGCAATATTATATGAGCTCTTGCCAGTTGAGATCCAGGGGAACAAACTCTTTGCCGTAGGGACATCGCGGCCCAATCTGCCTAGCCGTTCGCGAAGTAAGGAAGCGATTGGATATTTGATCTTTTTGTCCACCCCGTGAAAGTCGCTTTTTATCAGAGACAACGTTTGCTGTCTTGGTGCGTAGATCTGGTTGCGCAAAAGAAGTCAGTGAATGTGAGCAGAAAGTAGGATTAAGTGTGGGGTATCGATCTCGGAACACAACGTCTCGAAATTGGATACATGTGAAGATTTCTATCACCCTCATGCTTGCGTGCAGTGCATTTGCAAAATATTCGTGACTGCACGCATGACACCAGCATAGTGGGACAGGGGTATACAATACATAAACTATTTCGGTGCAAATACAAAATCCTTGGGGTGTAGGAATTCTCTGCGCATTCAGTCTTGGCCATGTTCCTGCTGGAATCGATGAGCAAGAGTCATGATTTGAAGGCTGCATAAGAACCCGGTGCCAGTGCAGTTGCATTTCATCCAACGTGCAACTCTTGCAGATTTTCGACCGGAACCCGGCACTGGTGGTGTTTTCGGTGCAATTGTTCATAGTAAATGGTGTCAAGAGCTTTTCGTGAGTATTTTAGCTGCTGCAGACTTGAATGGGATGTTGCAACCCGGTTGCAGTTTGTCCAGGATCAGGTTGACCTGTGCATATGTCGAAAATACCACCACATGGAATATGGTGCGTCGCTCCACCACTGATCCAGTCGTGGCATGATCCAGGAGGGGGAATAGGTTGTGCTCGGGCGTCGTCTTGCAGAGAATCTGCACCAGATGGGGAAGATGGAGCCGGTAGAGTTCACGGCTCTGAGTACTAGCGGAGGTGCAGCTTTCGGGTCACGACCGTCCACTCACTGCGGTGTAGTCGTGAGTTTGAGGGCGCTTTTCCAACGCTTAACGCCGCCGCACTCCCTTCAGGACCAGATTCCTTTTGCTTTGCGATTACCTTAACTGCGTTTCATTGTCGTTGTTGAGTGACTGAGATCTCGAACTGTCAGCAGCAAGAGCCAGGCTCGGCGTTTGTACCATGTCCTACCCGGAAACCCACTCAATCAGAGGGAGAAATTTTATTAAGCATCCCCGAAAGACAAACACGATTGATTTCTCCTTGGACATTAATTTACCTATGCCTTTCGAATCAATCTTGAAAAGCGCATTTCTGTTCACGTCTCACGCCACAAGCGCCCATGTGGCGTACTTTTGATCCGTTCATTGTCTCTGGAAACGCAAAAGTTGTCATACAGAGCCAATGAAATGAATGGCATCCCCAATCAAGCTCTCAAAGGATCATCATGTGATTGTAACCTTTCTCTGATCAGAGACGGCAGAGTGGTAAAAACAGCCGACGTAGACGTTTAGCACTTCTATTGACGGTGCAAATCGCGATTGCGTACTTCCAAGTCTAGTAAAATTGGATGTCCTCCGCTTTGCAGCTCGCCTTCTAGTGCCCCGTTGTGATTGCACATAGGCAAAGGGATGTTGCAATCACGTGATCATATTGTGATACCCAAATCCACTGACCGGCAATCAATAAATGTTGAGCTGCCAACAAGTAATTACATTCACCCCCCTAGAAGTACTTAAATACTCTCTTCTCGTTGATCAAATCGGAATGTGGCGTCATCAAGCACGCAGCTGCAGTACATGCGCGCCTACGTGGACCTGGAATATATCACGTGACCCAGTATGGCTCCACAGTAGGTTACCAATCTGGTGAAACCAGCTTTGAGTCATCCAAAAGACTGTAGCATATTTCCTGATTAACCTATTATGAGTTCAAGGCCGACGCAAGGGGCGAGTGATTCGTTTAGGTGATGGTGTGTTTGGGCGAAATGCGTGCGACACATTGAGGGTCTTCCTCTGTGCTTGGCGGCTGCACCCTACCACAGGTACCTACGCGTATAAGAGTTTCAGTGTTGTGTCGGGCATACCCAGCTAGGCAGCTCCACATGTAAAGAAGATAACCGTCCCCGTGCCCCTCGATCTATCTTGTCTTGTTCTGTGACGTTTCGTCAGGCGAGTGCAGTTGGAGATCCCTAGTCGGAAATCCAGAACAGCCTAACCTGAAGGAAAGCGGAACAATGAGAGGCGAGCTTTCTCAATAACCGATGCTGGAACATGCGCAGCTACAACCATCTTAACACTTCGAGCTTGGTTTGTAGATATCGCCATTGATCATGCCATATATAATACATTTTCCTCGTACATACGAAAGCGTTACTGTTAATGAGTGCTTTTCGGCGTCGGGCCATGTGTCTCCCCGTACAAACGCCATTACGTCTCTATACACAGACGAGACACCTTGCATCCAAACGCCTGCCCGTTTCACAACCCTAAAATAGCCCATGGTATCAGAAAAGATGCTCGGACCGCTTCGAAGTAACCGTTCTGAAGCTCCGGCCCCTAGTAATCCCCCCTTTCTCTTCGCTTTCCAGTTCTCGTATGGTTTCCAGCTCAAGCCCCGCGTTGCTTGAAATCTTGGTCTCGTTGAAGCCGAAGTTTAGGCCGTTGGTCCCACCGGTGCCTTCAAGAGCTTTGAAGTCCATGTGGATCTGAGGGGTGTCATAGATGGTGCTATCTCGCTTTTTGCTGACAGTCCAGGCCCAGCTGCGGTTGGGTGTGGTGCTCTCGGACGGGAGGCGCTTAGAAGTGAAAGAGCGTTGGACTTCGCGAAGGAAGGGACGCAAGACAGGTATACATTGGACGAGGATCGTGCCAGCGACTTCGGAGGAGTACCAGACATTTGATATGCCGTTACGTTCTATGCTGGGTCAATTGAGAAAGCAGATATGGATACGTTGAAAGCTTACGGTAGTAGTAGGGATCGCGTTTGTTGCCTTCGTCTTTCCAGGCTACGCGGACAGCCGCAACTATCGCGACACTGAGTGACATTAGTCGGCACCGTGTTGCAGTGAGGTCAGGATTTTACTTACACGACTCCCAGGCTCATCGTGATGCAAAGGCCTATCTTCTCGCTTTTCCTCATGTCCAGCTTCCAGGTAATCCACCAGGGAAAAAATGCGAAGACAAAGTCCATTATAATGTTGTAGATGTTTCCAGCTTCCTTGAAGTCGTCGCGGAAGGTCTTGTCGATGCAAAAATCAAGCCGGTACCAAACGTCATAGCTCTTCTCATCGCACAACTTTGCCCACTGAAAGATAACTTTCACAGCCATCCACACGTTCATCGTGATTATACAAAAGTAGATGATCCATTGCTGATAGCGATTGGTGAGTTTGAGGAGTGTGACACCGAATGCGGTCTTGCTCCAAGCTTGGCCAAGGACGTTGGTACAAGAGGAGATGTTAATCAAGATGTGCATTCGATCATCCCATTTCGATCCATTTTTCGGGACGTAGCCGGTCGCGTATTGATGCGAGATCATCGCATCAGTGAGTAACAGCATACTCTACGGCAGTGTTAGCATGAAAGGGTCTATGTGCGAGCGACCGAGATTTACTTACCCATGCGAGAATGAGAATGTAGTCATCGTACCATAGCCCATGGCGACGAGTGATCTTACAGTAGAGCCGTAGACCCAAGAATACTGTCGCGCCCGCAAATAGAGACCACAATCCTGCGTTCAGCTCCTTCTCCGGATTCACGTAGTTGGTGATGCTATCAGCGCCATCGCTCGCTCGAGGTCGCAGCCACATAATGTTGTGGCTGCCGGTTCATTCGTGCGATGCCCCGGAAGTGCTATAGTCGAGCAGCAGTCATCGAGAAGTCTTGGGAAGGAGGTAATGACAGATGAGAGCGTGCAATACTTGGAATCGCGAGAGCAAGCATAGGATCCGAGGTGGGGACTCCAAGATGAGATACGCGTGAGCTGCTATGTTCCGAAACGGCCGTTGGTGGATGCTCTCGTTCCTCAGCCCACGATCCTGGGACGCCAACAGTCGTGAGACCCACGCGGCGCAGTGCACTGACAGCGGGCGACACCGATTGTCGACGAGTTGGACGGCCCCATGTTGCGCTTTCGTAGCTTGCTCCGCGCGCGCAGTCGAGCGCTACGAGCCGAGGAGAGACGACAGCACCACCATCAGCTGCTGCCCTACCCTCCACCATCGCTCAAATTGCCGTCAACGTGTGCACGACAACGACAGATGGGTGGTCAAGACGCCTTTTTGTTTCGTGAAGTCGTGGTGGTACCCGACGCGTGTCAAACTGTGCAACCAAACATCTGAACGTTTTGCACCGTCGCTGCACTTTCCCCATTCATCGGGAGTCGAGATCCAAAGAGGCCTCCGCACTTCCCGTCTCTCGATACAGGGGTTGCATGTGTGTTTACGCACCCACGCCGCAATCCCTGTGCCCGTTAATCTCGGCAGCCGGTTTCATCTTGACCGGCACGGCTGGGGGGCGGGGGAGAGCTGCCGCTTTCTGCACGTCGTCCGCACGACCACCTCGCGCACAGTTCTCGTCAGCACTCCGAGTCAGGAGACAAAGTCGCTAATCTTGTACTGTTTCGAGACATTTCAAACGCGCCAAACACGTTCTGATGGGTACCAATGTGTGCAAAGGGGGACCGGGTGCGCGTTCCTGGGATCTGGACTCGGTTGGACATGCGTCGTGGACGGAAAATAATACCCCGAGACCACGCACCACCGCACTAAGGTGGCTGCTTGCAGCGGGTACGCTAGGCGCGCCACGAGGATCGCAGGACGAAGAGCACATCACATTGCAAATGACGGAGAATATTTGACAATTTCGCCATTGTATATGGAGCAACAATGGCGCCTACACCATGAAGGGCGCCGTCCCCGCGAAGCGAAGACCTGACGACGCCAAGATAAGACAAACTCCAATCGATACGTCATTTCCATCACGCCGACTTTGCCGACCTTTCTGGAAGGATGTCAGTACATCGCACGCGCCCTATAGCGCCGGCTTCCATGCAATATCAAATTTCTTGAACAATCTGAACGCCAATGACCGCAAACCACTCTCGATATCAGATTCCAGATGCAAGCACCCGAGCGCCCGAATGCTCGCCCCACGTGGAGTTGATGACGGGGACAAAGCTCAGGCTGTTCAAGCACGAATGCCTTGGCAACCCAATCCCAACATATCCGCCTCCACGACGTCCACAACAGTGCCGCCGCTGTGGACTTTCGCAACAACGTCGGATCGCTTCTGGCGCCCAGCGGCTGATTGCTCCTTGCGCTGCTTCTGTGCGAGCTTCTTCTTCTCCCGATCGGCCTGCACGCGCGAGGCTATCGCGCAGCGCTCTCCGCGCTGATGCGCGTTCTCGTCAGGCGCGGGCACTGCGTCTGTCTTCCCAGGACAATGTAAGAAGGCATAGTACGACCACCTCCATAAAACCCCACACTGGATTCATCTGATCGTACATTTGGTGGTGTTAAAGCAAAGCCTACGTTTCCTAGACAGGGAGCAAAACTAAACAAAAATCCCATGCGCAAACGGACGTTCATGCTTTGCCGGCGCAACTATTGGAAAGCGACAGTCGATGTTCTTAGGTGTTGATCATGACCATTACATTACAACGGCCGCCGATATGTGTATCATCAAGTACCGCTTGAAAGGGCCGATTTCGATCTAGGATATCATCGGCGAATCTACTGTCTGATATCCCGATGCGCGGCCGTCGCCTGTTCAAGGTTGCTCATTATTTTCGTCATGCATAGGCTCCCTCGCCGTCTCGACGCTGAAATTCTGGATTCTAAATGGATCGGAAGTTTCCCGCAAGCTTGACAGCGCAGAATTTTGCGATCGTTGGGATCTCTCCTAGAGATCTCTTTGCACATCCTGATGTTCACACGCAGTAGTATTTCAGAGGACGACATACAATATTGCTCATCTCAAAGTAAAATGGGAAAATGAAATTTTGGCACGGCACTATGTCAGCGATGAAAATGTTGAATTGTACTATTGAAATCCAGAAACTGTATTCAGGTATGCCTTCTACCCGAGAGTACCACAGCTAAGTACGGATGACAGCATGTAGCTTATGGAAGCCCAAGTGGGTAATTGAAAATTCGAACGATGCTCCTGGCTAGAATCAATCATCTTTACCAGTCGTCGTCGCGAAACATTAACTTGAATTCTTTGTTGACCATTCAGACAGTACACCCATCTTTGTAGTATCGGGTGGAGGTGAAGCTTGACAACAGCCAACGTCCCTACCAGATGTGCAATATGGTGGAATCTAGACGCCCATTCCATATCCCCCAGAGCGGCCGCCGCGCGCAGGTCGAAGGTTCCCCTCGAACTACTGCTTCGTTGCCGCTTCCTCCCACGCCTTCTTCTCCTGACGGCGCTGGACCTTCAGCTCCTTTTGACGCTCGGCCCGCTCAGCCTCCCGACGTTGCACTGCGGCCTCGATGTTGGGGAGCTTGTCGCGCCACTCTTTGTACTTTGGATCCGAAGCAAAGTTATCGACGAACAGGCTGAGGATCTTAAAGTGATCCGTGTGAGTCATAACACGTTCGTCCATGGCGCTCACGGCATCGAAGCCCATGGTGGAAACGTTCTCGTTCTTGAGCTTGGCCCACCAATAATTTTGGAGGTTGTGGACGTATCGGCTCCAGCCAAGTGTGTCCGCCACTAGTAGGAGATCAATGTCTTGAGCACACGTAGTAGCGGCCAGAGCGTAGTAACGCGTCTTGACCTTCATGACGCTGACAAGGTACTCGGCGAGGTGCTTCAGCGCGAAAGCAACACCAGGTTGAGTGATGCCGAATGAGGTGATCTTCTTGCCGTCCTTCTCGATGAACGCATTGCGGGCCACAGCAGAAGTGGCTACGAGGAGTCGAAGTGGCATCTCGCCGACGACCTCGTCGTTGCAGATCAAGTCCACAACCGGACCCTCAAGCAGGGCCATTCGCTCGCTCGTTGGCTTCGTGCGAATATCCTCCCTGCCATCCAGAGTTCGAGCCCATTCCAGGATCTCGCGAAGCTCTTGCTCGGGATCGCGCTTGGTATCCTTCTGGGTGATCACCGGAGCCTCTTGGGGCTTGGGCTGGGACTTGGATTGAAAGTAGTGCTGTAGCGGCAGGGCAAGCTTCGGAGCCGGCGGAACAGAGGTGTTCTCAGAAACCATTGTAACGGTTTTGGTGATTGGTTTGTGTAGACGGAGATGCTATTTGGGCGAACTGTTTTCGTTTGGAACTTGGCTGCCGAGAGACCTGTGGAGGGTTTCAGGGCGTTTGTTGCGAGTGTATTTACGTTTATGGAGTTGTGTTTGGGAGATTCTGGGGTTTAATATAATATAGGGAAGAGTCAGAAACAGGTCTACAAGCCCGAGAGCAATGCGCTTTCAAAGGCGTCGACCATTCACCTTGACAGTGTCTCTATGAAAGCATAGTGCGTGGTCAATGCCTTTCATTACGCATTAATCATGTTTACTATTTATGTCTTCAGTCGTGTGGGAACCTGGATATATAATTTGCAGAAAATCTTTGGCAACTTCCCACAATCCATCGATATCCGAGTATTACTCACGCTACGATGATCATTCCTGCCAACATGACATCCAAAAGCACAGTTGTCTCTCCCGCACCGGTCCTCAAGTTCCCTATCCCGTTGAAGACTTCTAGCAAGACTATCTCTGGAGTCAAGAAGCAGACCAAGCCAAAGCACGACCTCGCCACTATCCACGAGTGGGCCCAGTCTCTGACAGGCCAATTCGATTTCCGTAATTTGTCTCGAGATTACCGCCTTGCTCTTCTGTAGGGCCCGACCGCACCACTGGTGGCAGACGACCAGGTTGTTGGTGTAGCTCCACTACGGCTAATTCTTGCTGCCCCGTTCACTGCGCGCAGCGAGTTTCTCACGACGAATGAGGACCCATCCGTCTGCACTAATCATCATGCCCTCGGTAACGCCTTTGTTGAGCTCGTCGATTACCTCAAGAGCACATAAACGAAACTCAACCGCTACTACTTGAAGAACTCCACTTTGGCTCACGACGTGGATCTCATCCTGGCCGCAGAATGCACGGGGTCTAGACACTTACACTGCCAACATCTGCAATTTCTGGTGGGCCTATCTAAAGTCCACACCTGTCGAGCAGCTCAGTTACGAGGACTTGAAGGCCTGGAGACTCGTACTGTTTCGCATAGCAATGAGGTCATTCACCATCTAAATGAGACACTGCATTTGAGTACATCGTAAAGCTGTCTGACGTAACGTTTCTAGATCACATTGGCGGAATTCTTTCCAGCATCTCGTGACGCTATGAATCTGACAAAGAGAGCCCCAGTTAGCTTATCCAGGGAAATAAATCAGGCCGTGCCAGCAACTCGTCTCATAACCTTAAAGTTATACCTTTAAACCCATATAATTTATTGTACCCTTATGGCATCTCAAAGAGTTTCTGACTTCCACGCTAAATGTATTAGCCTACTGATATGTTCCAAGACTGCGCAACAGTGCTCTGTCTCTTCTCGTACAAATCCTGTACTGCGTCCAACAACAAAAGGTTCTCCTCCCTTGCCATCCAACTGAACGCTTTGTCTCTTTCATCTCCCCACTTAGAGTCCATTGTTTCAAGCATCTGCTGCGCAAGGTATCTCAACAGTGGATCGTCCTCCATCACGAGAGGTGATGTAGCGTCGGTCTCGATGGAGCTAGCATAAAGCAGCTCAGTAACTTGCCATGGTTGGAGCGTATGTGTTTGTGCGTCACGGATGAGCTCGTCGGTGCGTTCGGTAAGGTAAAATCTCATAACGTACGTCCATCTCTCACGAAACACCCATTGTGCCGAAACAATTCCTCGGTACGTCAACTTTAGGGCTCAATAAAGCCTCCTATCTTGATTGCCTAAGGGCGAGACTCTGTAACAATAGATTTCAATATCTTCTCTATCGATCTAATCTAAGCTATCATAAAATTATAATTATTAAGGTACCTTCCGCCCTTTATGTCACGGTAACCTTAGAGGCTACCTGACAAGCATGGATATACTGCTGGCAGTAGTATATCTTAGAGATGT